ATCCCTCCCCTCTGAGCTCAGGGAATCATCCCACAGTGGAGGAGGCAGAAAGACTGTTAAGAGCCAGAGGAAATAAAGTATACCAGGAGAAGACCCTTGAATCAAATAAGCAAGGGAAATATGAGCTCCCAGAGACTTAAGCAGCACACAGGGCCTACAAGGCTCTGTCATGGGTCCTCTGTATATATCATAGCTACTAGCTTACTATTTTTATAGGACTTCTGAGAATGAGTGGGTCGCTTAGTGCCTGGTCTTAGGACTCCTTTTCTTCTGTTGGGTTACTGTGTCAAACTCAATATGATAACTTTTTTATTTTTCCTTACTATATTTTATTTTTGTCATGTTTGGTTGTTATCTCTTGGAAGCCTGTTCCATCTACAGAAAGGAAGTAGACGGGGAGTGTGTGGGGAGGAGTGAAGGGAGGGAAAGTGTAATCAGGATACAGTGTATGAGAAAAGAATTTATCATCAATAAAAGGATATATATGTATACACATACATACACACATACACACACACACACACACACACACACACACACACACACATATATATATATCTCCTATCGTTTTTGCACTTAGTTGTCCCCCAGAGGTGGAAAGTAAGTCTCCTATTGCTAAAGACAACATTCACTTCAGAAACATGACCCAGAGCCAGAGGCCCCTGAGCTGGAACTGACCTAAACGCCTCCTCCTTGAAGACTAGCTTTTATGGTACCAGAAGCTTCCGAAAGAAGGAGGCAAGCAACATTCTGATGCAGCTATGATGCCTATGAACCACATCAATGACCATAATAGCATGATCGCTCTAAGAATGCAGTAGTGGCATGCATACCTTGGTGTCGGTGGTAACCAACAGCTCTATAGTTGGACTTAAGCCCCGCTCAACAAGGGGGAGACCATGTCCAGCACTGGAAACCTAGCTAATTTCTCAGTCCTGGTAAAGTCATGATTATCAGAAGATAATTTACAGCCACTACTTTACTTAATCAGCGTAATTACTAACAGCAATCTTTAAACATGTGTCCTTATGCCCACAAATAAGTGCAGTCTTCAACCCTCATCAGGAAAACTTTTCTTTGCAACAGAGACCATTACAGAAAACCACACCTATGAAAATTCATAGTTGTGGAGACCAATTCCAATAGAGACATCAAAAAAAAAAAATGCTCCTGAACTTAAGGCTTATGAATCATTGCAGAAGAGAGGATGGAGAGATTGTAAAAGCCAGAAGATCAAGGGGTTTTCTGTGAGACTGTGTCTCCTAATATCAGAAGCTACACTCATGAAGTCTCACCAACATGATTGTCCAAACATGAGCTGAACAAGCACAACACGTTAAACTGGATAGGGGAAAGCCCATGGGGCCTCAACCCTACACGAAGAACTACAGGCAACTGAGGAAAGCTAGAAGTGAGAAAGGTGGTCTTCCCCAGGGAATAGCACATCAATTGGATGTTCAGTGCCCTGAAAACATACATACAAGTAACGTTATACAGACTGAGCAGGTTACACTTAGGAATATATATGTGTATATATATTCGTGCATGCGCTAGCAATTAATGAAAGAAAGGCCATAACTTTGGAGAGTTGGTAGTATGGGAGAATTTGGAGAAAGGAAAGATAGGAGGAAATGTTATTATATAGTAATCTCAAAATTTTTTAAAGTAAAAAATAAATAGCAGTAGATTTTTGAAATGATGGGATATCTACTAAAAAGACATTGGGGATATATCAGAAATGATTGTCAAGTTTTCCAATGTGAGGCAATGTTACTATAAAAAAAAGATGAGAAGGTTCTTTTGGGAAGCACACTGAGAAGTAGAGTCCTGACATTGGCAGTTTTCAAGTATTAATAGTTCACCTGCTATCACGAGTCGTTAAAAGGATGGAGGGTGAAAGGGGGTGTGGCTGGAAAATGAATGGATAGGTAGGTTATATGATGACTCCAATGGGACAAACCCTTGCATAATCCCTTACTTATGGGTGAGTGTGCCTCAAACCAACAGAATACAGCACAGACGGCATGATGTTACTTCTATGGTGATCTTATATAAGATATCTTATCCTGCTGAAGCCAGATTTTCCTGCCTGGAGCATCAAGCAACAATGTCAATCAACAGCCTGTGGAGAGAGCCATGGGCAAGAGCCACGAACAATCTCCAGCCACCAGCCAACCAGAAAGTTGAAGCCTCCATGTGACACCCACCCACAAGGAAAAGAATTCTGCCAACAGACTAGGGAGTAGAATAAAGTAAGAAAGACCAATTATTAGACACGGTTTATTGATTTATATAGTGCCTTACTTAAAGCGCTACTTACACTGCTGATTTGCCAAGCATGACTTCACTTGTTACCTGGAACAGAATGACCGGGAGAAACAGCTGAAACAATGGGTCTTTGCCCTGGGCAAACTGCTGACTGCCCCATGGGCTTCTGTAAAATCTTGCTTGCTGGCCTGCTCCACCTTGTGGTCATACAGTATAAATTGAGAATACAGACTAGACATCAAAGGCATCAAGACATGAAGGCATCAAGACATGAAAGGCAGCAAAACATTTCAAGAGCGTCCTGGCTTCGTCCTCTCAGTTCCACTCTCACTGGTGTCAGAGAGCTTACCCAGAAAGATTCCTGCAACAGCTGAGCAAACTTAGAAGCAGACCTTCCTTGGAAGCCTCTGTATGAGACTGTTTCTTTGTGAGACCCTGAAGCAGAGATCTAGGCAAGCCTAGGCTCCTGACCCCCTAAAACAAGATAGGCATATACTGTTTTATGATAAAGTGTGTGGAAACTTGTTCTGCAGTAATAGAAAATTAATACTGGTAGCTGCATAGATGGATGGACAGATAGATACAAAGTAATGTTAGCTCTAATGGCTCATAACAATAATTGGTTCTGGTTTTGTATGTTTGAAACTATTCCCTAATAACAAGCTTCCATTTGGTGGTTTCAGTTCAGAAAAAAAAAAAAATGGAAGAGTTCCAGATATGTGTATTTTACTTTTTGTTTGTGTTTTGAGATTTTCCCTAAACCTTGCTCTTGTTAGGCAAGTGCCTTACTACTGGGTTGTTTTCCCCACCCTTTGACAAATAATTATACCACAATAAGTTATGGGAGAAGAATCGCCAACTCCAAGTATCTCTTTTTGTTTGTAAGAACTACATCTGACAAAATGCTGTAACTAGACATCTTACATCTATGCTGCACATGTCTTTATAATTTTGAAAAGTTTTAAAATTTTTATTCAAAATGTTTCACATTTTATTATGCTTTGTTTAAATCTAAAGATAGGTCAAGTGTTTATTATGACAAATTTTGGTAGTTAATTCCAAGTGAGGCCTGGGGTTGAGAATAACACTCATTGGTAGAACCATTGCTTAGCATGTACAGAACTGTGGGTTTAATACACAAAATCGCAATAAATAGGTAATAAAGAGGACTCTTTTTCAATTTCTCCTGAAGGCACCACAGGGCCCTGATATGCAAGGCCTTTTGGAGGGAAGTTTTGGGAGGTCTTCCTGTGATGGACCTGGTAGAGTCTTTAAAAGACTTCCTGGTACCAGGTACCAGGAAGCCCAGCACAGCTGCGGTATTCTGACAGCCCAGCCACACCCCCATCCTACATCATCTGGTCCTTCCTCCAAGCAAATAGCATTGGGCCTCTTTGGGGGAGGGCTTAAAGAGAACTTTCAAAAAGAGTTGACTTCTGCATGTCAGTTTGTTTACATTTGAGACTTTACCAGAAGTGATCTGAGTTCACATTGAAAAGGTGCCAAGAGTTGCTGGAGAGACAGCTCAAGAGTTGAGAGCACCTGGCTGTTCTTCCAGAGAACCTGGGTCTGGTTTCCAGCACCCACGTGGCAGCTCACAGTAGCCTGTAACTCTAGTTCCAGAGGATCAATCACCCTCCTCTGGCCTCTGCCAGCACTGTAAACACGTGGTACATAGACACAACATGCAGGCAAAACACCCATGCACAAAAAATAAAAAGATTAATGAATCTAAAAAATGAAAAAACAAGAAAATAAAAAGTGCCCAAAGCGCAGAAGGTAAAGAGAAAAAATAAGGGTCCTCGTCCAATAAGCCTCATCTTGGGCAGCGGCCACCGCTTCCAACCTCTATTCTAAGGGACACTCCAAGGATGAACTCCCAGCTTCTTCCTCAGGACAGCAGGGTTTGGAGGGGATAGGATGGCAAGTCTGGGGTGTCAGTTCTTTCCTGCCACCTTGTAGGATCCTGGGTTCAAACTCCAGACACAGGCCTGCCAGAAAAGCCTACCTGCCAAGTTAGCTCACCAGCCCACGTTTGTTTTTTTATAGATCACACGATACGTTCAGAATGCATTCTGTCCATGTACTTTGTAACCCTAACACAGACGAGTTAGGGTGAAGTCACAGGGTTCAGAGAGCTGCCACCTACAGAGCCTGGCCCTCCCACCCACCTGCACCAAAAGGTAGAATGGGCAGAGGGTCTTGAGTTTTGGAGAGCGTGGCTTGGCATCTCAACCATATTGGGAGTGCATACTGCTCCACTGGACCCGTAAAGAAACTGAGGAAAAGGACACATAACCTATCAGCAGCCAAGACCGGGAATCTTTCCTGCCCTCTTCAGTGTGGCCTCATCAAAATGTTAGTAGGGAGGCTGAAGATGTGGGCTGACTAACGCCTTAATCTTTTCAAAAATTGATTTATTGTATGTGTAATTGGCACTTGTATGGAAGTCTAACTCTGTGAAGTCGGTTCCGCCTTTACATGGATTCCATGTACTCGGGTCCTCTGGGCTTTTAACCCTTGAACTATTTTGCCTTCCCTGACCCAGCCACCTAAACCATCTCCCGCCAGTCTTTGCATTAGGCCCCACGGCCCCGCCTCCTTCAGGACCAGCCCTCCCCTCAACAACCCTCTTTCCCCAGTTGCCAATAGGCCCTTCCACCCCTCCCTACTCTTCTTTATTTAAGTCACCAACCCTCAGGCCCCAAATCCGAGCAGGCTGCCAGGAAAGGCGGCTTCTCCAGCTGTGTTCAAATAGGTGGCCCCAGGAGTTGGGGCGGGGCCTGGGGTCGAGCTGGTCCGGGCTGAAGAAGAGCTTGTTGAGGCTGGCAGGGTGACTGCCTGTGACTGTGGCACAGACCGGAGCTCCGGGGCAGGACATGAGTTCCAGGACCGCCTCGCGGCTGATGACGCTCCAGAGACACCTGGACCGCCCTCAGGTGAGGAGTTGGCTTGTTCCCTCGGAATTCCTGTCTCAAATTTAAGGAGACAGGGAGAAAGGCTGGTGTGGGAGGTTGGAGGCCCAGGAGCCAGGGAGGCAGGAGAGCTAAGGGAAGCTAAGGCCACTGAAACTGAAGGGCTTATACAAGGGTGAGAGGGTGGTGCCCAGGCAGGGGCACTGGAGGGCACAGGTCAGCTTTGTTTAGCACCTGGCACCTCATTCGGCAACTCAGTAATTCAGCCTGCCCCTAGGCAGTAGAGCTGTTTGGTTGCTCTCCTCACAACTGAATTGAGCCAGCTGGGCCTGTGCATACAGGCCCCAAGGTGATCGCACTGACTCTCTCTCTGCTCAGGCTGGTGACATGGCTACGGAGGGCAGTCCACTGACCACTCATGTGCTAGACACGGCCTCAGGGCTGCCTGCCCAAGGCCTCTGCCTCCGTTTATCTCGCCTGGAGGACCCTGCCCAGCAGTGGATGGAGCTGAGAACAAGGTAGGAGGCAGTGTCTGGTCTGGGAGATGTGAGCTCTAGCAGCATGGGGTGTCCTTCCTGGCTCCCACTTGGAAAAGGCCTTAGGCAGTGCTACTGAGGTGGAGCAGTGAGACCAGGGCAACAGTGAGTGGGCCTGAGTCTGGTGTGGACACTGAGGTGTTGAAGGGAAGGACTGACCGCTGCCCTGTTGATCCCTGAGTCGTCTGATACACCAGGGGCGGTGACAATAGCTTCTTCGCCAGATGTACATACCTGAGACAATGTCCTGAAATGTCCGAGACAGCTTTGTTGAGTGCTTGCCTGTCAGGCAGCCCCGTGGGCCTTGTGGAAGGTGAGCCAACGAGAAAGGGCCGGTAGAAAATAAAGGCCTCAATCAGCTTGTGTCAGTCTGAAGGCTGAGCACTTTATTGCTATAATCATCTGTTCTCAGTAGCTGTTAACCAGTCCTGTAACCTCTTTCACAGAGGGGAGGCTCAGACAAGAGAGATGAGATAAAAGCTAAGACTCCACTCTGGTCCGGTACTGACCTTTCAATATCAGTGAGCCAGGCTGAGGCCCTGACCTTGGCCATGCCCTTGGTACATGCTCTGCTGGGGGCCGGGATCTTCCATCCCCTCCCTTCTGACCTGCCCTGTGGGAACAAGGCGTGGCTTGTCCCCCTCCTAGTTCAGACTTCACAAAAGCTGGGGGGGGGGGGGGTTATCTCCACAAAAGCAGGAGGTTCTCTGCTCTATGATTTCCTAAATAGGCAGTGTGGAGCTATCCTGAGGAACTGACCTCCCCAGCCCCATGTGAGCTCCTGTGTGAGACTGGGACTCCTCTGAGGATGTCGACGTACAGCTAGGGAAGGGAGGTTTCTCAACTCTTCTCCCCGTTGTCTCTTCGCAGCTACACAAACCTGGACGGTCGCTGTCCTGGGCTCCTGAAGCCAGGCCAGATAAAGCCAGGCACCTATAAGCTGACCTTCGACACAGAGCGCTACTGGAAAGAGCGGGGTCAGGAGAGCTTTTACCCATATGTAGAGGTGAGGGCCATGGGTAGGTGGAGCAGTTGGGCCCTGACTCACTTTTGACCACAACCAGATCCTGTAGGCAGGCCTCTTCTAGGCCCCAACACTGCCAGGGTGGCAGCAAGTAAGTGAACTCACCTCCTTGCTCTCAGAAGGTGTCCAGGGACCTGAGGCACCATTAATATTTCTTGATGATGACACGCTGAGCTGCCCCCGGATCAGGAGAGGCCAGGCTGAGAGTGCTTCATCTTCCTCTGTAGACAGCTTCTCATCTGAGCCCAGACTCTGGGCACTGGATGTGTTAGTTACTTCTGTGTCCCTGACACAACTTGAGGGCAAATCATTGGGGCTCATTCTTTCAGCCCATGATTGCTTGGCTCCATGCATTCACCGTGGTGATGGGGGCACGTGGAGGAGAACTGTCAACTCCTGTAACAGAAAGGAACACAAGGAAAGACACAGCTCTGTAGGACTCTACCTAGGGGCCTTCCTCCAGTAGGACCCACCTCCAAGTTTCAGGACCTACTAATGATGTCATCACATGATAAAGCCAGTTAATCACAAGTTGACTTGGTCAGATCAGAGCCCTCAGGATCAAAGCCCACCAGCTAGTGACCAAGACCTTTACATCTCCTCTTGGAGACACCACTCACACCATAACATCAGACTTTATCTGAGCGTCTCCCACTTGTAGGCTGCCACGATAGCACCTGACCTACTGCAGTTTGGAAGGCCCCGGGGCTGTTGCAGGAAGGACTCGCCCTCTTCACTGTCCTCAGGTGCCTTCTCTGCTTCTCCTAGGTTGTTTTCACTATTGCAAAGGAGACCCAGAAGTTCCATGTACCTCTGCTGCTGAGCCCATGGTCCTACACCACCTACCGTGGGAGTTAGAGTGACACGTTACCTGAGGAAAGCCATCTTGTCTGCCTGTCCCTTTCATGGACTAAGCCACCCACACAAGTCAACAGCATGGGCTTTGTCCCCATCAAGGGGATGAAGTTGCTACTTGCTGAAGAGATTCTAGCTGCCCTAGAGTTTTCCAGTGGGCAGCTGTGACTTGGGAGTCAATAAAATGAGTTGCAAAACCTGCAGATCTGAGCCTATCCAGAGCTTTGCTAGCACGGCCCACTGCTTCAAGTTTCTTGGTTTCTTTTCCTGTTGCTACGATAAAATACTCTGACAAAAGCAATTTGAGAAAGGGTTTTATTCCGGCTTAGCTCAAGTTACAGTTCTTTGTGGTGGGGAGTCACAGTGGAGGAAGGCTGAGTGAAGGCGCTGGCCACACTGTGGCTACGGTCAGGAGTCAGAGGGCAATGCCGGGCAGTTGGTGGCCTGTGACTTTAATTCCAGTGCTTGGGAGACAAAGGCCGGCAGGTCTCTGAGTTCAAGGCCAGCCTGGTCAACAGGCGTGGTCTACAGTGTTCCAGGACAGACAGGGCTGCACAGAGAAACCCTGTATGGAAAAAACGAAGAGGAGGGGCTAGTACTCCGCTGCTCTCTCTTTTCTACAGTTCAGGATCCCCAGCCCAGGGAATGGTCCTTCCCACAATTAATGTGTCTTTCCACATGGATTAACATAAGCTGCACCACCACCACCACCATCCCCCAAGGTGTGCCTGGAGGCCCTTCTCTCAGGTAATTCTAAATTCTGTCAAGTTGACACAAACAACCATCATTAAATCTTTAAAAACAAAACAAAACTTGCTCTCCTTGGTCTAAAAGAAAAAAAAAAAAAAAGCCATCTGGAGAGGGGAGCCAGGCCTCACTAGAAAGGTGACAATATATTCATGAATCCTGACAGACCATGGCCCAGCATCTGTCCAATCACAGACATCCCCAGTGACTTGAAACCCACATTATTCAGGGGAATCCCAAAGGCCAACAGCTTTTCCTCATATGGGCAAAAAGAAGTAGGCCCCGACACTGGCCGGCAACAGATTTGCTTTCTGGTCCACTGATCAATAGCAGAGCCACCCAATACCAGCAAATGGTAAGTCGAAGACTTCCCTGGGTGTGCCCTTTCTTTCAAAGAACTTTTTGGGAAGTGTGTTTGCCACAGCAGGAAGCAGAAAGAGCTAGAGTGCTTTCAGAACCTTATTTCAAAATAAATTCTTGTCTCGGTCCCTACTGATCTCCTACTTAAGGTTGCCAGAGTTGGAAGGGAGGTAAAGGTGCTTACGAATCCTAATTAAAGTAGGTTTGGTGAAAAATCTAAGCCTACAGAGTCCAAACAACAAACAAAGCCAAGACACCTATGGAAGCCTGTGCTAAAGCTGGAAGCATTAAATACTGGGTAATCCAGACGGGCAGTGGTGGTTCAGGGGGATCTCTATGAGTTCAAGGCCACCGTGGTCTACAAAGTGAGTTGCAGGACAGCTAGGGCTACAGAGAGAAGCCCTCTTTCAAATGCCCCTCCCCCCAAAATAAAACAAACAAATGTGGGCAATCCATAACCCAAAAACTACTTTGGGCACCTTTCTATAAACGCCACAGCTCGGCATACCAAGCGCATGGCTACCGAGACCACCTCCTCACAGAACCCTAGCCCACCTTTCCCCTGCAGTGTGACATTGTTCTTGACAACATGCCAGTTCCTACGGTGTATAATACTAGAATAGAATGTTGTTTTGAAACAAATTTGCTTTCAGCTTCATTGTCACTGAAACGAGCAGCTCAGAGACGGATGAACCTCTGCAGAATTCCATTCCCAGAAGCTGTGGTTTGAGGTCAGCCTGGTGTTGTGTTCTCTGGTGGCACAGCCACCCCGGAGGGGATCTTGAGCTCTAGGTCGGCGGGCTGCCTCCTTCGTCTCTGACAGTGCACTGTTGTGAATGTGGTACCAGCTGGCCAGCACTGTGTGCCCGTAAGTGTAGAACTGTGACTGCCACAGAAGGCAACGCCTTGCCTCTGAGATGAGCCGTTAAGATAATACGAAATCTAACTGTAAACAACTGCCAGTGCAGTTTTAGGTGAGCTGGTTACCAGGCAAGTTCTGTTAAGACTTGTTAACAGGAGCTTTTCCTACACCTACGCATGTGCCAATGACAGACCACAGTACAATTCCACCCAAGTTCAACTTGACAAACCAGTACCAAGGTCTTCATCCAGGGAATGGGTGAGGGCTTACTTACAGGAGTGTGGGGGACTCAAACAGCTGTTTGGCCAACAAGGCACCACCTGGCATAAATCCTGACTTCTGCAGAGATGAATAGATGGAGTACCCCCTTTGGTTAACCTTCCACTCTAAATATTCTAGCACCACAAGACAGAGTTAAATGCAGCTGACAGGGAAGTACAAGAAGGAGTAGCTGAGATCTCAGGTGAGGGTTTGAGGACCCTCACCCCTTCCTTCTATGAGGGAATGTCAACAGGACCAACCTTGAGCATCATTTATGAATAGTCATAGCTGCCTCCGATGAAAGGGGTAATGGCTTGCAGGCTCAGAAGACAGCACTCTACAAGACAGCCATTCAACCGCAGAATGAATGTGTCTGTGAACAAAGCCAGTTTGATCCCAACTTATTAACAGCATAGAGCCACTCACTTGGTTCATAGCCTCGGTATTTTAATGATGTTAAAATTTATACAAGAGGGTGGGTGTGGTGGCGCACACGTTTGATCCCTGTATTCAGCAGGCAGAAGGAGGATCTCTGTGAGACTGAGGCCAGCTGCTCTACCTATAGAGCTCCAGGAGAGCCAGGACCAAATAGAGAGACCCTGTCTCAAAACAAACAATTGTTTTGAGAGTTTTCACTGCAACATGGTTTTCATTCCGGTGGATCAAAGACAAATAAATGCTAGAAAATTAATCAGGCCAGGCGTGGTGCCACAATCCTTTAGCCTCAGCACTCGGGAGGCAGAGGCAGGTGGATCTATGAGTTCGAGGCCAGCCTGGTCCACAAAGTGAGTTTCTGGACAGCCAGGGCTACACAGAGAAACACTGCCTCAAAAAAAAAAAATAAATAAAATAAAATAAAAAAATAAGATTCAAGCATAAAAACTTAGAACTGGGGCTGAAGAGACTGCCCAGTGGTTAAAAGCACTTACGGCTCAATCATGAGGACAAGAATTTGGGTCCCAACACCCATAGCAGGCGGCTTACAACCACCTGCAACTCTAGCTTCAAGGGATCACTGCCTTCTTACGGTCTCCATGGGCATGTGTGTGTGTTTGTGTACACTCACACAGCTAAGCACAAAAAATGCACACAATATACACACACACACACACACATTAAAAACTAAAAGCTACACTTAGATACCAAGTCCTTGCCTTGCCTCTGATGCACTGGTCTCAACAGACAAGCCCACAGAGGGTCCAGATGCTCCCAAAGAGCAAGGGTAGATGGCAGGAGGCTGATGGACACCAGCCCAGGTTCTGCCTGAATATGGATGAATGGAAGCCAAAAAAAAAAAAAAAAAAAGTTTGCTGACTCAGCAGAGACAAAGCTACTGATACTGCAGAGAGGTGTTGCAAAGGCCTTACGTAGAGAGGAGTGATAAAAACATAGCCACAGAGGATTGGCTGTCTATCTGTACAAAGACATGAGCAAACATGGAGTAGTAGGTTCTTTATGAAGGCAGGGTGGTCGGTTAGGTGATCGGTTTGCATGGTTTTCTTGTCTGTTTGAGCTTTGTTGTTGTTTCTGATTACTTTCCTGTCTGTGAAATAAGAGCTGAGGCACTGAGAGTAAGAGGAGAGATATGACAGCAGCCATCTCCAGGGTGTGAGAGCACACCATGGAAGCAATCTTTTGAAGCTGCCAGCACCTACGACAAGGCTTGTGAAGTCTTGTGAAGTCCTTCCGGTGTTTTCCTAGCCACATTCCACCCAGCGCTGGGAATTCAGCCTGTGTTGGGGCTTTTTCAGAAAAAGACATGTGTTCTAGTTAGCTTTGTATTGCTGTTCTGAAACACAGTGACCAGAAAGCCACGTGGGGAGGAAAGCCTCTTCGGCTTACATTTCCATACCACACCATCACTGAGGCCAGTCAGGGCAGGAGCCTGGAGGCGGGAACTGAAGCAGCAGCCATGGAAATATGCTACTTCCTGGCTTGCTCCTCATGGCTTGCTCAGCTTGCCTTCTTATACTACCCAGGACCACTTAGCTAGGAGTGATACTGCCCACAGAGGGCTGAGGCTTCCCCATCAATCACTACTCAAGAAAATACCGTGCTGCAGGCTTTCCCACAGGCCAGTCTGATAGAGGCAATTCTCCAGTTGAGATGCCTTCCTCCCAAGATATGTCTACGCTTGGGTCAAGCTGGCAAAAACTAACTAGCACAAGACAGTACCAGAGGTGGAGGACATAGGCCAAGGAGTGACTGTAAATACAAGTGTCTGGACATGATGTGAGCCAGGAAGTGTGATCCCAAATGACTGCAGATCTCAGGTACCAGAGGAGGCAAGACCGGAGGGTCAGAGCGTGTATTAAATGAAAGGTGAAAGGGCTACTTCTGCAAACATTTTCCACGGCTAGAGGATAGCCTTGACATGGAATCCGAAGAGGTAGAGGATGAAACCCACACGAGAAGAGAGGACAAGGGACAAATGTTTGGGCTATGAGGTTGCTACAGTAAGATAAGTATACAGGGGCAGGCAGCATAGGGACTCAAATATTTATCCCAGGCTAGCCTGCACAGTAGTGTCAACCAGATGAGGGTCTGAGGTTTGCAAGTAAAATAACTGCAAACTGGACACCACGGGGGGGGGGGGGGGGGAACACCTGTTCTACTTGTAACCCTGCTGGAGGACAATGTAAAGAGAAAGCTAAACCAGTCTCTTGTTTGTTTGTTTGTCTGTCTCTTTGTATAGTTTTGGCCATCCTAAACTCACTTTGTAGACCAGGGCTGGCCTCGAACTCACAGAGATTCACCTGCCTCTGCCTCCCTGAGCGCTGGGATTACAGGCATGCACAAGACATTGAAAGAGCCAATTCTGTGCCAGAATTTGAAGGGGGGTGGGGCTCCTTCCAAACAGGTGTCCCCGCCAAGTCTCTGGAGATGCTATTTGCAGGAGTCAGTTCTCTTCTTCCATCGCGTGAGTTCTGAAGATCAAACTCAGGGGCTGCCAAGACTGTCACCAAGCCCCCTTTCTCACTAATCTATGTAGGCCCCAGAGACAGAATTTAAAGATGACCCAAGGTGAGCGCGACAACAAGGGAGGAGGCCAATCTGCTCTCCCACTAACTTTGGTGACAGAATCCGCGTTGCACAACCACTCCCACACTTGTAGACTTACGCACATAAATAGGTTAATTTCATGCTAGCAAAGGAGGTTGGAGAATGTTCGTTATAAACAGGAGTCTTCGTAGGCAAGAACCACCGACATCGGGACAGTGCTTGAAGGGCACAGAGCAAGGCTCTGGGGGTTGTGTCAGGCAGCGCATCTGCAAAGGCTAAATAGAATCAAAGCAAGGGGTGAGGTAATGAGGGATACATGACGCCCTGTTCAGACCCTACTCTGACAGCGGGTAAGAGGGAGAGTTCTGTGCTGAAGGAGGGGCCTCCTGAGTCTGAGCAGATCCGCAACCAGCGCCATGCAGGAGAGGCCATCAAACCACCAGGTGGCAGCAGAGGATAGGAGAGCGGTAGGAGCACCCCCAGCCGCAACTCCCCTCGGGCCACCCTACCTCAGCTGCACACTTCCTCCAACTTCAGACCTCCAGTGGCCCTGGGTCCCCCTCCCTAGGAAGCCCCCCGCCCCTTTGACCTCATGTTCCCAGGCTCTTCTGCCTGCAGTAGTCGGGATGCCTCAGCCTAAACACAGACTAGGGCCAGGCAACTCATTAAGCAGAGATTGGGGTTCCAACCCCAATAAGATCTAGATCCATCCCAGAAACTGTCACTGCCTCGTGGAGGCCATGCGTGACCTTTGGCTCTCTTCCCTGTTGACCAACTGGTGCTAGACTCACCCAGAGTGGGATTTATTCCACTCACCCCGACTTGTTTGCCAACAGCCCCCTTATGATCCACTCAAGTCTGGCACTTCTTGGCGCCTGGTGGAGCACAGTGACATGCCTGGCACAGTTGTCCTGCCAGGTCCTGATAGGTGTGCCACGCCTCCAGGCAAGGTGCCAACTTGTAAGACATAAAAGCCTGGTATCCCCCGAGCAGTTCTTGTGACTGGCGCCATGAAGGGGAGCAGCACGCTTCTGCTGGGGGCTCTAACCCTGATCTGCATCTGTGGTAAGTCTAGGCCTTATTCCTAGCCCTTTACAAAGGCAGGGGGTCCCAAGAGGCTGAAGTCCTGGGGCCAGGTGGATAATGCCTACCTGTGTCACAGCCCCCACCACCAAAATGCAGGGGATCTGTGTATCGGAGCCCTAGCCCAACCCATCCTGAGTTAACACTAACCCACCACCAAGGCCAATGACATCCACCCTGGCTCAATCCAACTTGACCTGGCCCTCTGAATCTAGCTAACCCAGGGAGTCGGGGGTGGGGGGGAGGAATCCCCAGTTCCTTCCCTGATGGCGTGAGGAACTCAGAGGGGAAACCACAGCAGCTCCCACTAGCAGTGGTGGGGGAAGGGCTCTGCAGGAGGTTGCCCTGGGAGAGCTAAAAAGATGTGGGACAGGGAAGGAGATCAAGTCCCTCCCTTGGCATTATATTCCCCTATGCAACACAGGGCTGAGCACAGCAGAGGATGACAACGAGTTTTTCATGGAATTCCTGCAAACACTGCTGGTGGGAACCCCAGAAGAGCTCTTTGAAGGGCCCCTGGGCAAGTACGATGTCAATGACCAGGCCAAGTCAGCACTGACAGAGCTCAAGACCTGCATCGATGAACTGCAGCCCGTGCATAAGGAGCAACTGGTCAAGCTGCTGGTAACCGGGCTGGGACTCCCATCCCCAAATGTCTGCAGTTCTTCCAAGACCCACCCATGCATGGTACCTGATCACCAGTCCTTCCCCATCCCTAGACCTACATCAGCAGGCTGAGGTGGAGAGCTCACAGAGAAGCTTCCAGAGCCCCTTAGTCCTGCTTCTCCCACCCCAAGGACTACGTCCCACATAGGCAAAGCCTGTGCACACAACCCCTCCCCAACGTGCTAGGAGGGGTAGAGCACAGTGTGTCGGAACCTGTCTACCCCGCTGGTGTATGTCTGCCTCTGGGGCTGTTGGTTCCCAGCTCTCCCGGGCCTCACACATTTCTCTTTCAGGTACAAGTGTTAGACACTCAAGAGGACACATAAGCAGGCCTGAAACATGGCTTGACTTCCATAAATGACAGGACCAGCCACACGAGCAGCCATGGATGTGCTAAGGCCACCGCTTCCTCACAAAAAAATTCACCCTCAAACTGTTAAATCAATAAAGCGTCCTGAGCCCAGGCACTGGCTTCTCTCTCTCTCTCTCTCTCTCTCTCTCTCTCTCTCTCTCTCTCTCTCCCTGCAACTCAGGGACACACAAAAACCCCTATCAAGGGCACCCTGAGGGACACACCAAAGATACAGATTCATACACAGGGTCACTTCCCAGAAGCAATGTAGGAGAGCAGCCCTGAGACATCATGTGAACCCAGGGAGGTACCCAGGAAGGGTGAGGTCTATTGTGGCATGATAAAGGAGCCCAACCCAGGCATACTGGCAGGGAAGGTTCCTCTATGAGGGCGGTGATTCCTCACAGGGGCGTGCATAATAAATAAAGCAGGAGCACAGCCAGCTGGTACACAGGCTTTGGGAGCTTCGCAAGCAGCCTCTCTTCCCAAAATCACCCCAGGAAAGAGATCCCAACCTGAGCCAGAACTCGAAGAGCAATATTGATGAGGTCAAGAAGGGAAGGTCTGACTGCTCCCAAGGACAGCTGAGGTCCTGAGAGGTAGGCTTTACTGGCAGGAAAGCTGAAAGGACAGCAGGGTCTGAGGAGGCCTAGGGAGAAAGCAATCTCTCTAGGTATGATCCCCGCACTCAACAAAGCCTCCAAACCAATCCTCCACTCCAAGATCCCCAACATCCAGAACACCCTTTCCCTAAATGTCCCTGTCCCCCACTTTCCCTAAATCAGTGGCTTCTAATGGGTCAAAGCTAAGGAAAAGCATGCAATCTCACTATACCTACATTTGTCCCAGCCATCACAAACAGTTAAAAACAAAACAAAACAAAACAAAACAAAAACTTAGAGGTGGAAAATGGTCTCTGGAAGAGAAAAGTTCCCTGGAAAGAGGGAGAGCTCCTTGGAGAGTTGGGGAGTCCCTAAAGAGATAGAGGCATGTGGTCCCTGGAGATGTGGGTACCCCCTAGAGGGAAGGTCCCCTGAGAGGGTGTGGATTCCCTAGAGAGTTGGTTCTCTGAAGACAGGGTCTCTGGAAAGTCTGAAGAGAGCCCTTGGCAGAGGTCATTGTCTCCATCACACACACTGTGATCTAGAACTCCTTGTGGGACAGAGCCACATTCTAGAGCTCAGGGGTAAGGGAGCCTCCCCAGTTCTCAAAACTGGGGAAGAAAAGGAAGCTTTCTTTCCATGCTCCTTTTTAGGGATCTGCCTGGCACAGACGCCAGGGGGACAGGTCACTGGTGAGGAGCTGGGTCCCAAGCTGCTCTAAGCCTATTCCTGCACAAAGGAGGTGAGGCCTCCCAATTGCTCCCCTCTGGGCCATGACACAGCTCAGCCAAGAAGCTCTGGACCCTTGCTAGGCAGCTCTTTGCAAAGTTGCACCCAGGCTTCTCTGTCCAGCCCAAGCTCCCTCAGAGCTAAGAGAATAGTCAGTGCAGGGCCAGAGCAGGCAGCTCCCCTGAGCCTGTCCTGAAAGCATGACTCTCACCCATATCTTGGAACTAGGTAGGGGTGAGCTCAGCACACCAAATGGAGAGCTCCCTCTGCTTGTAACTGCTCAAGACCCCCATGTCTCCATGGGGCAAGGACTGGGCCTGCAAGATGCAGGATCAGCAGAACCAGGGACGGGAACATGAGGGCCAAGAATGAGACGGGACAGGGCATCCCAGCACCTGGTCACCCTCTTGTCCATGGACAGAACCAGCCATGGCAGAGGAGGTATGGGTGGGCAATTGGAGGCCCCATCGCCCCCGGGGGCCCATCATGGCCCTCTACAGCAGTCCTGGACCCAAGTATCTGATTCCACCTACCACTGGTAAGATTGCCTAAGGCCCTGGGGCTTGTTGGGGATGGGGGAGGAAGAAGCCAGAAATGGTGTAGCCTGGGATGGGTCTGGGCTCAGTCCTTGACTCCCAGTGGAGAGAAGGGTGTCTGCCTCCAGCAGCCCTGAGCCCCTGTGCCCACAGGCTTTGTGAAGCACACACCCACCAAACTTCGAGCACCAGCCTACAGCTTCCGTGGGGCCCCCATGCTCTTGGCGGAGAATTGCTCCCCAGGGCCCCGCTACAGTGTGAACCCCAAGATACTGAGGACCGGCAAGGACCTTGGCCCTGCCTTCTCCATCCTGGGGCGCTACCATGCCAAGGCCATGTTGACCCCCGGCCCGGGTGAGTGACCCCTGACTTCAGTTCCAGGCCCTAATATGCTATGTCAAGGTCAGAAAGCCTCATTCCTCCTACTCTGGAGACTCCATCAGGCCTGAACAGCAGAGCCTGAAACCCACCAGTCCTACTGTCTGGAGTCCAGGGACAAGGCCCACACCAGATCTCACACTCACTGCTTGAAAACAGCCCTGGAACCAGTATTTCTACTATGGACTCCACCTCCCCCCAAAAATCTACTCAACCACAATGCTGGGCCCCAGAAGCCTTGTCTTAACTGTTGGGACATGCTTCATGGGCACCCAAGTGTTGGGGGTGGGTGGAGAGGCCCAAATGCTTGTTGTTCCTGCACATCCTCCCTTCTCTCCAGGCGATTATTTTCCAGAGAAATCTACCAAGCATGTGTTCGACTCAGCACCCAGTCATTCCATTTCTGCCCGGACCAAGACCTTCCGAGTGGACAGCACTCCAGGTCTGCCTCGGCCCAGTCAGCTGACAGACGGAAGGGAGTTGGGGATCCCAGCAGGGGTTGGAGGAGGGATAGCCCAACATGGGACTTCAAAAGGTAAAGGGTATCCCAGATAGAGGGTATCCCAGCCTGAGCTCCCCATCACCCACAGGCCCTGCCGCATACATGCTGCCTGTGGTGATGGGGCCGCACACGGTGGGCAAGGTCTCCCAGCCCTCCTTCTCCATCAAGGGCCGCAGCAAGCTGGGCAGCTTCAGCGATGACCTGCACAAGGCAAGCCACCCTGGCTGAGTACAAAGCCTGGCCCCAGTGACCTCTCTGACCCTCTTCCCCAAGGTCCACAAATCTCCAGCCAGTTAACTGCCCTGTTGAAGTTCTTGGGTCCTCTTCATCTCTGGGTGCCTGCCACCTACTTGGGCTACATTCGGTAGCGGGGAGGGACCTGGAGACCAAGTTGGGAGATGTGATGATACTGAGAACAAGCTAAGATGTTTGTGGAGTACTGCCTGGAGGACAAACCCCAATTTTAGATAGAGGACATGGAAGCAAGGAAGAAGGGGGGGGCGGAGGAAAAAGCCTTGAGCTCCTTGGGGGAGGAAATGTCTACTCTCCTGTATTAACAGTAAGTGCAAAGAGCCTGAGGTGAGCACATAATGCCCAGTAGCACTACATGAGTTTATTGACCTCACAAGCCCCTGACCTCTACCTTCAAGACCAAGAGGATAGTGTCCCAACAGGGAAAAGGGCCTTGCACATATCCCCAGAGGCGTGGACACAAGATTGGTATACTGGGAATGCCACTGCCACAGTGAGGTTGAAATTGATAGTAATATCCCATCCCATAAACGGTGGAATGTTGCTCTCATGGCTGACAGGCAGCTCAAGAGCACCTTTGGTGGATCAAGGTCCCAAACCTAACCCTATCCTCTGTGACCGTGTGCCCTGTGAAAGTGAAGCCTGTCTGAGCCCTCTTCAACTTCCAGACTCCAGGTCCTGCAGCATACCGTCAGACTGATGTTCAAGTGACCAAGTTCAAGGCTCCACAGTACACCATGGCTGCCCGAGTGGAGGCCCCAGGGGATAAGACCATGAAGCCAGGACCAGGAGCCCACAGCCCTGAGAAGGTCCAGGAACTAGAGGGGTCAGATAGGGGTCAGGGGAAATGATCCCGAATGTGTAGAGAGGGTCCACACTCTGCGAGGGTGAATGGGGGAGGCAGCCACCCTTGGGATCTCATGAATTCTCAGCAGTGGCATTGATGGTAACCTTTTAGCTATAGGAAACCTGGGCTCTAGCCTCATACCCAGAGACTAGCCCACTGTCCCAAGTAACAGAGTTACTGGGCACAATGTGGCCTTTATATTGGTCACCTTGGCCCCAAGTTTGGGAAGGACTGAGCCGCTCACTTCATCCCCAGGCTACGAATGCTCCTCACAGTCCTCCTTCTCCTTCTAGGTGACCTTGAACAAGCACTGTGCCCCCATCGTCACCTTTGGCATCAGGCATTCCGACTACATGACACCCCTGGTTGTCGATGTGGAATAGCCCCCTCTCCATCCCATCAGCCTACGACCACAATCCTCCCACAGAGATGAGCTGGGCTGACAATGGATTAGGCACTTCACCAATGGGTCCACTGCCAGCCTGGCCCTTCTACACAGAGCATGCTAGTTTGGACGGTTTTGACAAGTTATTTTTTTTCTATGCTATCTCGTGTTTGTTGACCTTGTTTCCTGCCATGTCCAACTTATTTAATAAACCACAGATTGAAGTTGTAAGGGTTCATCTTGGAGAAAGGACAAAGCTTGTCCAGGGGCCCCTGTCTTGGCTTTCTGGCCTGGAGGTCCTACAAAGGAAAAAGCCTGGGAGTCTTGACATCTGAGCTTCCTTTCACAGGTTCTTTTCTACACTCAGGCTCTCTCCGAGAGCCAGAATCCAGAACACCTCGATAATGGGGTACAGAAAAGTGCTGACTGATGCCATATATGTGTGTGTGTGTGTGTGTGTGTGCGCGCGCGCGTGCTTTGTGAAAAACCTCCATACATGCAAGGTTATGCAACCACGTCACGCAGCTCATGTTAGCACTGGCCTTCAGGCTTTCAAAGGGATATGACTCCAGCCAACCTGCCTGGAAGGCCTGGGCATGGCAGAACACATGACCATTTTCACTCTGCTGCTTCCAGTTCTGAGCACAGGAACAATGTAAGGATACAGCCTCTCAACTGCTATTAAGTACAAACCTTAGAGGAGCTTTTTTCCATCCACAGACAGGAGGAAGATGGGTGCAAAACAAGCTGGCATCTCAGCTGGGCCTGAGGGCAATGTCTGCAGAGGTTTTCACTGGTCTCAGACCCAGCTTTAAGGGGTGCAATATCACCTCAACCTTGCAGGTCAGTGCAAAACAAGTGACCTTATCTAACACACCCATGGGAACCTCTACCTGTGTGTCCCAGCCAACTTGCCCTTTCTCCCTCAGCCCTTAGGAGGTAATGCAATCACCATCCTCCCCTCAGATTGGTAGAGAAGAGCCACACAGAAGGAAGTTGGTGAGTCTGTGGCTGTCCTGCCCAAAGCCAGGGAGATAAAGCATCTGTGAAAACTGGGCAAGGGTGGTCTTCAGTGTCCAAGGCCAGCCACAGACTAGGGTTGGCTCAAAATAACTCAAATTCCCGATTCCCACCTACACATTAGGGCAAGTGCCAGGGTACAAGGCCTCAGTTGGGAGGGTATGGCTACTCCCTCCTGGAGATTGATCTGACCCAGTGGTTGTGAAGTTGGTATACCCGTCATATGATTCATGCAAGAAAGAACAATAGCTAAATGTGACAAGAGCTACAGCCCTGGTCCCTGAAGTAGCTGGAGAACTACAAACAGCCACGGAGACTGGTGAAGTAGCATAGGAACCTGAGGAGAAAACTAGCCACAATGTGTATGTGTTTGGGTTTGCATCTCAGAGAGGGATGGCAAGGATACTGCTCCAGAGGAAGTTATCCTGAATGCAGAAATTTAGACTTAGTTTGCACCAGCAAGATGAGCAGATGCTGGCTATCCCAAGTGTCTCAGTAAGCCAGGTGTGAGTGCACATGCCTGCAGTGCTACCATTCAGGAGGCTAAGGCCAGAGGATCATCGGTTGGGGACTAGCCTAGGCTACATAGTTTAAGAGCAGCCTGGGATGCACAGCTAGAGACTACCTCACAAAACCAATACAGCAAAGTACCCTGGGGTTTATCAACATCCCCAGAAAGCAAAAGTCAGCAATACAAGGTTCCATGGAGACAAAGCAGAAACATAAACATGCCTGCTGTGGGTCCAGATCAAAGAATGATGCGGGCAGCTATTGCCACGCTTGGTGACAGGCATAGGGCAAAGCCAAAGCCCTGGTTCACAAGAATGAAGTGCCTGCAAAGGGAGGCCTAAGAAGGAGGCACAAGCTGGATGAGCCCAGCTAGAAGTGTGTGGGGTAAGCAAACAGCAAAGCTACACAGGTCAAAACCAAGGATGCCTCTCTTCCTCCAGAAGGTCTGGGGCTCAGACACAGTGGAATAGCCAAATAAGCTCAAGGTCAGTGTGTGCAGAGAAAAGCTGCTCCGTAAAGGTAAAAGGGGGAGGGTGCCTAGTGCTACACTGAGGCATTGCTCCAGTCAGTGAGGCCAGAATGTGGCAAAGCCTGGCTTAACTTGGAACTCAGAGGTGGTGGTTATGAACAGATGGGTCTCATGATGTGGCCACACAGGTGGACAGTGAGCTAGTCCAGGGAGAGAGATGAGGACACAGACATGAGTAAGGTCAAAGAGCACAGGACTTCAAAGTTCATTTCTTAAAGATATTTTACGTGAAGACAAAAAGTGCTAGGCCCTTATAAACTGTTGGCCAGTTTGTGTGCAAATGGGACTGGCCAAGGAGGAAGGGTCAGTTTGTGTGCAAATGGGACTGGCCAAGGAGGAAGGGAAGGCCAGGAAAACAGGCAAGTCTGTGGAATTATGTAACAATCTTCCCCCACACTGAGGGAGACTCGCTATATAGTCAGGTTCGGTTCAAGGTTAAAAGTTCCCGCTACACAAACGCTTTCATAGGTGGCCTCCAGCCCCATAAAGATCCCCAGCAGAGATCACTCCAGTACTGCCTGACTCTGAAAAGCCACACTGTACTATTCTCAGTCTGTTTGCCTGGGGATGGATTGGATACATCTTTGGCACTAGGAAGATTCTCAGTCCCAAGGACATACATCTCTGCTCCTGGACACGCGGTCTTGAGGCCCAGGAGGAGCTTAGTCCAGTGCCTCTAGCAAGGGCTGCAGTCACGCCTCTATCCACAGCTTTGCCTCTTTCCTACTAGCGACTGGTGGGTACATCCTTGACTCTTGGCTAGCACAGGTCCATTCCGAATTAGCAGCCTCTACCTGGAGTCAATGCCATGTCCATCCTGATGACCATAATGTGGAGAGAGCTCATGGCCATATCCTGTTTGGTGTCAGCTCAAGACTCCTCAAGAACACAGAGACGGTCTAAGCCAGGCATATACAAGTTAGGGCCGGACAGAAGACCCTTAGGCTATCGGCTTCTGAGGAGTGTGGCTGTTGGCCCCAGTGGGTGCATTCAGGACTCACAGATGCTTTGCTTAGACCTGGCTCATTCTCATACAATGTGGTTCTGGCTCTTCTGTGTCTTTAGCACCAGGGAGTAGGATTGGGTTTTGCTTCTTTCTTCCTCCTTCATACACAGGACAAGCCAACATGAGCTCATTACGACAGAAGCAGCTGTAGTTATCCTGACTTAGGAAGATGAATGACCCATGATGATAGCTTCAAAGGAATATTTTTTTGTTTTCAGGTCCTCAGGAAACCAGGATACCAGGTGTAGAAAAGCCTGGCTGCCCTTTGGCACCATCAGCTCACGTCCTTGTCCTCGACAAGAGGTAGGAGAGGATGAAGAAGGCCACAATTAAGACCAAAGCCATACCACACAGAAGCTTCCGGTTGTCTCGCCCGGATCGTGCCACTGTGGAAAAGCGCTTCACACTCCCTGTGAGGAGGCCAGTCACGCTGGAGAAATCTGAGTCCTGCGGAAGAGACCCAACAGGATCACATAGAGTAGGGACCCTTGACTACCCAACCATACCAGCACTGCAGGGTAGGGGCAGCAGAGCAGACAGCATGGGGCAAAGCCAACTGTAGCCTGACTGTAGTGCAGGTGCTTACCATGCCATCTAGGTATCGATTCTGGTCATCTGTGTCCCGATCTATGTCCAAGGCCAGCTGGTTGGGACAGAGAGAGGGCAGAGTCAAGCAAGGGCACAGAACACAGCATACCCATCTTCCCTTCAGACTAGCCAGACTTTACCCCTGACTTTGCTAGGCACTATCAGAAGAAATAGCTAAAAAGGGCAAGGTGTTACCTGTGGCATCACTAGAGTCAGCATCCTCACGGACAGCACGTGGCCTCTTTCCTCCCCTCACAGCCCCACCCACCAAGGTAAAACACAGAAGGGACAAGGGCTACTACTGACCGATTTGAGCCTGGTAACCTTGGAAGCCAGGCTGTCGGCCATCCGCTTGTTCTCTCGGTCTAGAATCTCCTCCACAGCACCCGAGCTCTGAGCTGTAAGAGACAGAGACTGAAGGATAGCATTCACACATGAATGTGGCCCCAATCCTCACTCCTGTGGAGTCTGGCCTAGTAAGACATCTACGAAGATCCGGCCCATAGTGTTTACTAACTTAGCAGGTCCCACCCTCAGTTCCAACAGGTGGACCACCTTTACATCAGACATGTAGCATGGGTCATGTGAGAGCACCTGTGTGCATGCCCACGCAAGGATAGGCAGGGGAACCAGCAGGCTCAATCTACACTACCCTTTTGTATACTGTCCCTGAACGTAAATGAACATTGCCTTAGCTGAAATCATCATCATCTGTGGCGATGGGACAGGTCAGAAAGGAAAAGAGAAAATCCTGGTAGGGTCATAGAAAAGACATAGGAAACAGCCAAGCAGGTGACAGGAAGGCTGTGTGAGGATGACCTGGGAATCATGTACAGGAAACGTGTAAGAAAGGTCTTTTGCCGAAGATACTATCTAGCCCCACTTCTGCAACCCACTCAGGATCTCTGGAAACCCCGAACACTGAGCCTGTGGAAACCTGACTCCGATAGGCTGGGACTAGACATGAAGAATTTCTGTCATGGTACGTGACTGAGAATCAGCTCCCTAAGTGCGACTGGCACCGGCATGAAACATAAAAACCAGCCTTGATGTGACTCACGTAAGGGGAAGGCTAGCAGCACCAGCAAACAGGTGCAACCAGACCCCAAAAGAAAGGGCGACTGTGTCCCGCCAACCACAGCACAGTCGTTAGTGTGGTCCAAGCGTCAGTATCACCTGTCATACTGAACACAGGCACCGGGAAGTGAACCGAGGCACTCAGGCCCCTCATTTGTTAACCCTGCTTGGACCCTCCGCTTCCAGCTCCTGACATCAACCCTACACAAAAGTGATCCCTTGCCAGCTTCGGTCCCAAGGCAGCACCAGCTTCAGTCTAGCTGTGTTTCCTGGAATATGAAAGCGCCACCCGACGCGGGTCCCTCCACCGAGAACTGAGTGATGTCTCCAGCTCAGGACCTCGCCTCCTATCCCTACTACCCTCAGAGGTACTCACTGCGCGTCCAATCTGCCATCGCGCCCTCCAAGGTGCCACTCAGGGACTCGGCAAAACAGCGACGGACGTGGCACCAGTACCCGAAAAGGTCTTCCGGTTCCGCCTCGAGTGGACTTCCGGGAGAACGGTCTGGCGCGGAAGAAACAGAAAAGGAGTTGTTCTCTGGAATGTAAATAATGGAAGGGCGGGCCACCAGCATTCGAGCGCACGGATTGGCCAGAAATATCAGTCGCGAGATGTGGGTGTTACCCGGAGCGTGAGCGCAGGCCCAAACCCGAAGCTGGGAAGCGGCTCAGTCAATCAGTCCCGAGCTTCGGGCTCTGCGAAACCCAAACGTGAGGACTACGGAATAGGGAGGACAGACAGAACCGAAGGAGAATAGCGTAGGAGACGTCAGGGCCTGACGCCGGGTAGGGGCTAGCGCCGGTTAGCTCAGCGAGTGACTGGTCATTCCCTGGAGCATCGCTTGTGCGTGTCAGTCACCGTGAGGTGCACCTTCCCCGACTCTGCCTTCAGCTACGTGGCGGGAGGACCTGGCTCCCCACTAGCCAGCGCTCGTACGCTTCTAACACCTGACACGCGCAGGCCGCCTCTCCGGTGCTCCTCCCGCGGGAGTGGCTTTCCCACGGGTGTTTTTCACTGCCTTCTCTCCGATCCTTCCTCCACACGCTCTGCAACTTTCTTTTTCTTTTGATAACCATTTTATGTTGGTGATTTGGCCTTACGTTTATTTTGAGACCGGTCTCACGAAGTATCCCCTGGCTGGCCTAGAACCCTCAGGATCTGACTACTGCCTGCCTCTCGCATGCTGGGGTTTAAAAGAGCGTGCTCCACTCTGCCCGGCTAAGCACATTATTTGTCCACCCGAGTCGTTGCACTCGTCTTTCCCTGTTCTCCATGGAGTATGAGCTCCAGGGTGTGGACCAAGGATCGCCGTGCTCCCCCAATTGCCTAAGCGGTCAGGAGACAGCGCTGCCTTCATCTCTGCACAGCTGTGCGTGCGTCCGGAGGGCGGTCCACGCGGGGGCCAACTAGTTCCCTTGCCTGCTAGGAACTCCGGCTAGAGAGGAGGGCACAAAAGGAGGACGCTGCCCAAGCCGCCCAAGACAGGCTGCTCGGCGACCACGTCCGGATTGCTCCACCTTAAGCCGGAGGCCCGCCCCGCGCCTGTACACACCCTTTTGGCTCAGCGGCGCTCCCGGCATTCCTCACGCATGGACGCTGGGCTTCCGGACCTGGGCGGAGCCCGCGGGTTTGTCCGACTGCGTTTTCCCCGGCCCAGGCTTTCCAGCACCAGGTGCCAGGGGCTATGGAGCCCCGGGCAGTTGCGGATGCTTTGGAAGCGGGAGAGGAAGACACGGTGGCAGAAGCTCTGCGGTCGTTCAACCGGGAGGTGAGAGGCACCCAGCTGCCGAGGAAATTTCATAGAGTGGGGAAGCAGCGGCGAGCGCGTAGCTGGGCTGGGGAGTGCGTGCCAGTGTGGCAGGTGGTGGTGGGCTGGGCCTCGGGTGTTGCTGTGGTGGGCTGTGATGGAGCAGGTGTATGGGAGGCGAGGGTGGGTCTTGCCTCACGTTCAGAGCGATGGCTGCTGCCTCTGAGGTAGGAGCAGACCTGTCGCTCTGACTCGAGGAGCACTGGTCCTACCTGTGTGGACCTGAGCCTACTGGCTCTCCCTGCAGCACTCCCAGAGCTTCACCTTCGATGATGCCCAACAAGAAGACAGGAAGGTAGGTGTCGACCTAAGGGGCTCCGAGGGCAGGCACGGGCCGCCCCCCCCCCCCCCGAAAAAGGCCTGGTGTAATCGCTTTTTGTCCCTCCCCACAGAGACTCGCAAAGCTGCTGGTCTCCGTACTGGAGCAGGGCTTGCCACCAAAACACCGTGTCACCTGGCTGCAGACTATCCGAATCCTATCCCGAGACCGCTGCTGCCTGGACTCATTTGCGAGCCGCCAGAGCTTACATGCACTAGCCTGCTATGCTGACATTACCATGTCAGAGGAGCCCATCCCACAGCCCCCAGACATGGATGCCCTGCTCGAGTCTCTCAAATGCCTGTGCAATCTCGTGCTCAGCAGTCCAAAAGCACAGATGCTAGCAGCAGAGGCTCGCCTGGTGGTGAGGCTCGCAGAGCGTGTGGGACTGTACCGCAAAAGGAGCTATCCCCACGAAGTCCAGTTCTTTGACTTGAGGCTCCTTTTCCTGCTAACAGCCCTTCGCACTGATGTGCGCCAGCAACTGTTTCAGGAGCTGCATGGTGTGCGTCTGCTGACTGACGCGCTGGAACTGACACTGGGGGTGGCCCCCAAAGAAAACCCCCCGGTGACACTTCCGGCCCAAGAGACAGAGAGGGCCATGGAGATCCTCAAAGTGCTCTTTAACATCACCTTTGACTCGGTCAAGAGGGAGGTGGATGAGGTAAATTGTAGCCTGAAGCCATGGGTGGGACTCAGCTCAGCTGGGCCATTTTGTGGTTTTTGCTTCCCTTTATACCTCAAGTTCCAGGGTGTCAGATATGGTGAGGACAAGAGGACAGTCTAGGCAGGGAACTTAAGGTTTCTGAGCTGTGTTGTGCATGGGGTTTGTGGGGGGAGGGGGAATGTACTCCAAAATGCTTCAAGTGGCCAAAATCACCAAGTGCGTGCGCTGTAGACAGCCGGAGACCAGCTCCATGTGGCCCTGGAACACAGGGACAGGGCCTCCTTCTTACCGGAGCCCCCTTCTGTCTTTGGTTAGGAAGACGCTGTCCTTTACCGGTACCTGGGGACCCTTCTGCGGCACTGTGTGATGGTTGCTGCTGCTGGAGATCACACAGAGGAGTTCCATGGGTGAGGGGCAGAGCTTACTATGTTGGGGATGGGGAGAGGGCTCAAGGGTATATGCAGTAGTCCTCAGCCCTAGCTGTGAATCAGAAGCACCTGGGAGCCCAGGCCCCAGCCTAGGACTTTGTCAGGGG